TCAATTTATTTCATTTTTTTGCATAGTTGTACTACTAGTACTACTACTACTACTACTACTACTACTACTACTACTACTAGTACTACTACTAGTACTACTACTAGTACTACTACTACTAGTACTACTAGTACTACTAGTACTAGTACTACTACTACTACTACTACTACTACTACTACTACTACTAGTACTACTACTAGTACTAGTACTACTACTACTACTACTACTACTATATGAAAAACAGAAGTAGTAGCAGAAAATGTAATACTAGTACTAATTGCTATAATATCAGTACTCGATCTACTGCTGCTAAATTACTAGTACTTCTTCTTTTTTTTTTCAAACTATTTCAATTTTTCACATAGGTGTACTCATATGAATAGTATCAATATGAATAGCAATACAAATAGCAATCCCAATAGTAGCAACATACACAGCAATGCAAATAGTAGCAATACAAATAGCAATACAAATAGTAGCAATAGGAATAGCAAGAACTCAAATATTAGCAATACAGATTGCAATACAAATAGTATCAATAGGAATAGCAATAGCAATAGCAAAAGCAATACCGCTCTATTACTAGTACTACAGTGTACTCCTTGGAGGGATGCGCCGCCCCTCGGAGCAGCTAGAAGCATTCTTTCTCACGAAAGCAATGGTTCTGGCCTTCCTAGTGCCTCTTCTAGTTCAAGAGGTAAATATAATATTAAGTTTTTTTTTACTAGTACTACAGTGTGAAAAAAGAAGTAGTACCAGAATAAGTAGTACAAGTACCTGTTGCAATTTCAGTACTAGAATTACTACTGCTTCACTACTACTTCTTTTTCTTCTGAAACTATTTCTATTTTTCACACAGTTGTACTATTACTAATAGAAAATCCAAAGCATATAGATATTTAATCAAAGCAATTAAATGTTATTGTGATTCTTTTTGAATCCTAGCTTGTTCTGAATACACAGTGAAGCAAATTTTTGTGTCTGGATGAAGGTTTCATTCTTTAGCCTTGTAGTCATCAAGAGCTAACTTTCTAGATGAACTGTGATTGCAAGCACCAGGTACTCTTCTCTTACCTTGTTGCTGATCCCCAAGACCTCTTACTACAACGCCTTCATTCTCCACAACCGTTTTCATTGACCTCAATACTTTTTTGATATCATTCTTGATCATTTGCAGCTTAGGAGCACCTTCCCATACTCTTTTGTATGCAGAAGCAACACCTAATGGAGTTGCCAGTGTAAACAGTTTATCCTTTTCAGGGTGGTTCCTAGTTAGAGCAACATGTTTGGTAACAGCTGAGTGGAGTTGACTGAAAAGACTAGTATCCAAAGGCATGGCTTTAGGTTGGTTACCCACGTACACTCTCAATTCATCACCAATTCCACAAATAGCACCCATTAGATTATTCTCTGGCAAAACCAAATTGCTGTAATAGTTCTTTTCAATCATGTATTCCACTGAATCTGCAGATGTCATCAAGCAAAGAGCATCATGATTGACCATGGCATTGGGACCAAGATAGCATCTAGCCTCAAGAATGAAAATCTAATCAATAAGGTCAGGTACACAGATTTTCCCTACCATTGCTACCTTATCTATCTCTGCTTCCCACCTGTCTGGAATGACTCAAGTAAGGGTTGTCTGCTTCTTGGTAATCTATAACTGCTGGTGGATCACCATCAAGGCAGTTTTGAGCAGCTTGAATGAATTGCAATCATAGTCTTTTGTGTGATATACCTTTGATTKAATCAGCAATCTGTTTGATCTCATCAGGTTTTCCAGAGAGTGCTTTTAAGAGATTGACCATTATAATTGAGGCTTTAGCAAGTCTTTCAGATATTGTTTTTGCAATCCCTGGGAGTTTTTGAGTGCTGTCATTGCTGTAAACTTCACCGGGAACTCGGTTGTTAGGTGCCCAAAGCAGATTGTTTCCCTTTGTTTTGCCAAACTGCAAATATTGCCTGGTTGAAAAGTTTTTTTGGTCAATGCGTGTGACAAGTTTTTTACCCATGTAATCAAAGACATTCCAAATTTTAGAACCGCCCTCACTTGATGACAAGTACACACCAAAACAAAACCTTGCTTCTTTCTCATACTTGAAGTTTTCTATGTGCTTACCCTTCTTGGGATAAATACCGTTCTCCATATCACGATTACCAAGAGCATCTTTTTTGAATGTAATAGAAACATTTGGTTTTCCTGGACCACTGCATGAAGAATTGTGACCAACAAAACACTCTTTATGCATTTCATCAAACCATGCAACATTTGTAAGCTCAAGCTTTGTAAGTTTATCAATATCATAACACGCTGGTATTATAACAAGCATCACCAAGAAGCTTTGAACACTCCAAATTGAAGTACTAGAAGCTGTGCAAACTACCAAAAGCTAGCACGGCACCATGCGGAGTTCACATCAGATGATCCTTGTTTCTCTTTCTCCAAGCAACGTATGCATGGGTTGAGCACATCCATAGATGGAAGCATATGTCAATGATGGTAGCCCAGCCTGTTGCCGATATACATCATTTACCAAAGGGGACAACAGCTTCAGACTATTACCATCCTTGATGGTTGTAATTTCTGCCTCAATACTATCCAAAGTCACTATTGGCTTCCTACCACATGTGCTTTGTGCCAGCATATTTTGTACCATTTGCTCTGCAATGGGATACATCTTCAATAACTGAGCATACTGTATTTCTAACAAAGGCCTTCCGATTGTTTTTGTTGAATGCCTTAGCAATAGCTAGTTGAAACTGTTTTTTGTTCCTGCAATGGTGCACCCAACACATATTCAAAATAAACTGCAATAGCAATTCAAATATTCTTTTCTGACACTGAAGCAGCTTCCTCTGAAGTTGACTTATATTTGTCAATACTAACAATACTTTCATCATCACCATCACTGGCACAAGAACCGTAGTCATCAGTACTAGTAACATCAGAAAGATACTCTGAGTAGTCAACTCCTTTTGACCTGCCAGTACCAGTAGTGGTTGAAGTGTCGACCATTGCATTGCCAGCGTCTATGGGCAATACTGATGTAGCTGAGGCTTTATTTAAGGCTCTTGATTTCTTAGCTTTTGCTTCTTTGAAAATGGCATCTTCAACAGCAGCTTTCCTAGCTCAGGAACTGTCGATGCCCTTTGGACAGTAATGGTGTTTCCACCTTGAGTAACGTTCAAAACTTGTTTTTGGGACCATCACAAGAAGCACAAGAACTCTTCTTTCAGTAAATTGAGTATCAATATGCAACCGGATCCTTACTTTGTTTAGTCCTCAGCAACTAAACATCAATTGCACAAGCTGCTGGATTTGCTTAGATCAACATGGTGGATACGGAGGCTATCGATACAGAGGCAATTGATATGGAGGATGTGTATGCAGAGGATCAATGTAGAGGCTTGATACAGAGGATAAGGAGGCTAATGATCCAGAGGAGATCCATATGGAGGATCGATGCGGAGGCTTGATACGAATGCAGAGGATCAATGCAGAGGCTTGATACAAATGCTGAATTCGGAGGAGATCTAGTATGGAGGATGCGGAGGCAATCGATACGGAGGATAAGGAGGCAATTGATGCAGAGGAGATTGATACAGAGGGTTCAGAGGCAATTGATACAGAGGCTATGGAGGCAATCAATACAGAGGATCAATGCAGAGACTGGATACGGATGCAGCAGAGATGATCAATACGGAGGGGATGTAAGATAAATCTTTAGATTGTTTTCAAAGTTGATTGGAAAGAAGATTCTGAGCAAAACAAGGTCAAGAAGAAGAAGAACAACAAGTGGAGGTGCATGCACAAAATAGCTGCTCTTTTTGGAAGATCCACTTTCTTCAATTATTGAATATGTCACGGCAGATTTTCAGAACCCATTGTTCTCAGTACAAATTGTACACAGAAGGTATTGTCAGTCTGGACTGCCACACACAATAGCAACAGATGGTGTACTCGTACCAGCCGGTTTGTGCAGTCAGATGGAGTTGCACCAAACGCCACCAAAAACCAGTTGGAGTAGAACAAAAAGCTAAACGTGGATGAAAAAAATCTAGACTGACAGGCTACCAAACCTGTTTTTGAGGGGTTCTCCATAGAATTTTTGACTCAAAATGTGTCCGGAGAACCCTCAGAATGATCTTTTGCCACCAAAAATATATGCCTGGACAAAAAGCTTCACAAAAAAAACTGACAGTACATCATATTCAATGGTCATGAGGACATCATGGCTGAGTTCTTCTTTACATAAGGATTTTACACATATAAGTATGTATAGGGGTTAAACGTGATCCAAATTTCAATTCAAACAAAAAGGTGCAATCTTTTCCGACCGGCCGGTACTATTACTAGTATAATGACTTTGTGATGGTATCAGCCATCAGTGTTGCATTGTTTGCAACTCGTAACAAGAAAGTTGTTGTCATAGCTCCATCATTATTGTAGAGGGTAGGTATGACTAAGAAACTGTCTCTCCAGTTAGGATGTGCAACTAGTACTAGCTACTATTCGTAGTATTATTAATACTAGTACTACTACTTTGTGAAAACAACAACATCTATACTTTTGCAACAACACAATTGGAGACTGACAAGATCACAACACTGATGGGCACATGGTAGGAGGAATCTTACAAAACAAGCTGGCAATGAAACTACTCAGGGCTGTGAGGTCATCTAACTCAAATTCAATCTCTTTGTTGAAGTGTATAGTACCCCAGCAAGACAACGGAAGTCACCATTGGTTGGGTATTTTCAACAACAAAGCCTGCTGTCTTCCAAGGAAGTTGCTCACTCTTCTCATTGAACCATGCAAAGTGAATGGTGTTGGTACTACTAGTAGTATCCCTAGCTCCACGTTTTGGTAACCCAGTCGGCAACAACAAGAAAATTCTTCAATCCCTTCTCATCATTTTGCTACTATCGACTCAGAACTAAACTCGCAAAGTGGATTCTCCTCCAATCTATTTCTATCGTCCTCTTTCTTTGCACTTCTTCCCAAACATCCAGAAATTTTTTTAAATCGTGAATTGTTCTAGACACTGCTGCTGCTGCTGCTTGTTACGGAGTCGAACGGGCACTCGCGGCTCACTTTGTCGCTGGGAGAGCCCGCCGCTCGCAGGCGTCTGTCGCGTGCGCCCGGCCCGGCCCGACCACGGGCTGCTCCGCTCAGCAGTAGACCCGGAGGCGGGAGAGCCCGCCGTCGGGAAAGATCGAGACGCGGACGTGCGTGACCGGTCGGTCGGCGTTCTCCAGCTGGCCCCTGGACCGCTCAAAGACGTGCTCGGCGTCCGGGCTCGTCCTCGAGCGTGGGACCAGAGAAAACCACTCGCCGCTCCCCCTTTCGGAGGGGTCGTAGCCCCCCGCCGCTTCCGGCGCCTCCGTCTCCCCGCAAGGAAGGCTGTGGCACCCCTCGATCCGGACCGACTCGGGGTAGTTCCCGCGAAAGTGCTTCGTGTCGACAATGATTTTCGCGACCCCGGTTCGCGATCCGCTCCCCCCGAGCCGGACGACGGCCCAGTCCGAGAGCGGCGTGTCGAGCAGCGTGCTGCCCCGCTGCCTCCGGAGGATCCCCGGCCGGCTCGGGTGGCGGGCGGTTTCCCAGCCGTCTCCCATGTCCCTCCCGAGGGTCGGCTGGATCAGGCGCCACGGCTCGCCGTAGTGCTTGTTGGAGCAGGCCCCCCCGATGCCTCCCTGGTCCAGGGAGGAGAGCTCACGGTGCTCGGTCGGCTGCCGCGAGGGGAGTTCCGATGGATCCGATACCGAGGAATGCGCCACGACGGTGCATGCGTCGCAGGTCTGGACCGGCATGTAGAGCGGCGTGGTGGCCGGCTTGACGTCGCCGAGGCTCGTTCCCCAGCACCTAAGCCGCGCCACGCCCCCGTCCGGGTAGTAGTTGACCCTTACAAGGTTTCCCGTGGCGGGGGTCTCGAGGCGAACGTAGTGCATCCGGGTGGGCTCGAAGCCCGGAGAAAGCGGGGTTTCCGGCAGGAGCTCCCTCCACGCTCCGCTTCGTTCCACCGCCTCGGAAGCAGCGGCGACCTCCCCGGGCAGCCGCCCCGTGCCCCGGACGCCGCCGTGGAGGAGGCGCTCGTAGGCCCCGGGGAGCTTCGCCACCATGCCCGAAAGCTCGGCGGCGGGCAGGTCGCAGATTTCCAGGCTGATTCTCGGCACGTTGTTGCCGGTAAAGTGGGCCGTGTCGAGCTCGAGCGCAGATATCTCGGAACGCTTCGGGAGCTGGATCAGGCACCAGTCGTGCCCGGCCTGTCGGCGGCGCCGGGTCTCCCACCCGTCCAGGACCTTTCCCTGCTCGCAAAAGGCCTCGGGGTCGAACCGGGGGGGACCGTCTTCGAGCAGGTTTTCGGCGGTGGCAAACCAGTCGTCCGTCGCAAAGAGTACCCTCGCGCCGCCCGAGGCGCTCGCGAGGTTCGTGTAGTGGTCGGCAAAGGGGCCGCGGGGGGCGACGTTTTTGCAGGCCTCGGGGGTTTTGCTTTCTTCGAGTGTTAGATCGCGATCGAAATCGAAATCGGCAACGCTGGTGGCACTGACGGGGTTTCTCGTGAGGTGGTGGTTGGCGCACGAATCGATCGTTGCCTCCTCGGCGGGTGTGAGGAGTGTCTCGGACGTCTTGGGGGCCATGGTGTGCAACGGAAATACCGTACTGTATTGCGTTTCGCTGTGGTCGTATCGGTGTTTGGTATCAGGAGCAATCTCACTGGTACGTTATACCGGTTGTGCGGGTAGAAGTAAATGATAACTACTACTACTACTGCTACTACTACACTCGTACTAGCAACGTCTGCGTCTGCATTCAAATTGTGAGGAAAGACCACAGAACAAGAGAATTCTGCTTCTCGGTTCGCGAGAACAAAATTCTGAAATCTCACCGGCAATTCCCGAAGATTGGCCTGCTTCGGTGGCAGTGGAAAACGTAGTCGAAGCTGTCATCATTGTACTACGAATCGGTATTCAATAATGACCTTAACCCTAAGATATTACTTACGAGCAGAGCTTGATCACAGCTAAGCGGTTACATACCGGTACATACTGGTAGTTAGAGGACGAAGGTTATCGGTAGGTTTTGGTCATAATGTCCTACCGTACCTCCTACGGTACCTCTTACCTCAGAGGATGACCCAAAAAAAACAAACGCTTCAAAGACTAGTGCTACCACCAGTTTCTCGTAGCCTCCAAAGGTGAAAAGAATGTGCTAGAAATAAACTATGACACACTGTCATCATGGGGGATGGTCGATATCGACCATGAAGGGTGTTAATAGGGTAATCTCTGCATACATGTATCCAAGTAATAAAATGTACAGCAAAACAAAAATTGAACTCGTTGGATCCTCCCAGGACACCAAAGGGTGCATCGTGGTATTCTACTATCTGATTATACAGCAAAATTCTAGTAGGGGGGGGGTAAAGAGTAATGAAAGAAATTCAGCGCTTAATATCTGAAATTAAAAAATGTATTGCACGATTATTTCGGCCGAAAAACGTGGCCAGCGATACGATGCAATTCTTTGCATGAATGAATGTTCTCTTCTTTGGGCGCCAGCAAAATACCATTTGTATCAACAAATTATTCCATAGTAGCATGCACGCACATGGTAATATCGTTGATGCGGAATGTCCCAGAATTCGCTGGTCCTTGGTTGTGGAAAAAAAATGGTTCACGTCTTGCACGTAGCGCGCATGCCGAAAAATGGTACCCGTAGCGTATAGTGACGTTGGCTGCAGGGTTAGAAAGCTGCAAAGAGGCTGATACATCCATTAAATAGAATCAGCCAATCAAAATTGGTAATGGGAGTTCACATGCGTCAGTTATTCTTGATGAGAATGGGCGCAATAGTTGCTCTGTTTCCTACGGTTCCCCCCTATGAAAGTAGCCAGAATTTGATTACCTTCATATACGGTACGTACTGTATCGTTATCCAAGAAGAAGATTTATGTTCAGCTCGATTTCAATTTTGTCGTGGTTGTTTCATTCTTCGCCGGGTTCCGTATTGAATGCAACAGTTCTGAAAGAGAACCTTAGTATCCTACGTAGGTTTTTTGGTGAAGCGCCATAAACAAGTGATTCTATCGACGAAGAAAACTTTGTCTTTGCGTACTAGCGAAACAGATTTTGGGAAGCATAAATGTTTTTCTTTCGCGGGAGGAGTATGAATAAAACAGATTCCGGTTTGCATAAACAATTTTTGCTCCGCATCCAGGAACACCTTCCCAACAAATCGTTTTTGTCTTTGGCT